TGAGTCTGTTGTGGCTCGGGTGAAAGAGGAGTGGCTAGGTTGGAGAAGACGTTTACCAGGGACAATCACACTTTCCCTTTGTATCCACGGATTTTCTTGCAGTGCCATTTGCGGCATTGGACGAAGACGCCGGAGTGTTGTTTTCTGCAGCAGTGTTAGACGTACCCCCTGCAGTGGAAGCTGAACCAGTTGGCCTTGAAGGAGCTCCTGAGCGACCAGCATTACTAGGTCGCGAGGTTGAGGCGGAATTTGCTAATCGAGAATCTAGGGCCTTCAGGGCAAGCGCTCTGAAGATAAAATGCAAGCTGAGTCGACAAATTTGGAGAAAGAAATGGATCTATTTACCTCCTTCTTTCAGCTTCGGCCCTTGCTCCTCCAGGTTGCGTTGTTGTTAAAGACGAATAAACGCCAGTTTCAAGGTCATCGGCTGATGCCGCAAATGGCCGAATAATATTTAATTTGACAGCCAGGTTGTGCGTGAAGGTCGAGACGACCGATAGTGGTTTGCTACACCTTGCTCAATAATAAAGTCGCAATGTAACTTGTTAGGACTTACTGAACAAAGGGAGGGAACCAGTGGATGAAAGCGAATGTTTCTGAACGATCTCCATAAGTATCGATACCAGATAATGCATCGGTAGTCCTCTTATAGAATCGTAGATAAGCCCATGAAACGAGCCATCCAAACTGGATAAGAATCCAAGGAGATTGGAAGCGTAAGATACATGCCACGTTGGAAATGGTGACGTATATCATAGGTAGCCTCTTCACACGTATCTTTAGTGACCCGAAAAATTGGAGTTGATGTTCTGGGATGAGTTGCGTAAAGGCCACGAGCACTCCGGTTTGTAAGGCCATCAGACCGTGATAATCCATTCCATATCTGTATCGAAAAATTTAAAGTGATTTCGGAAAGAATGAAGTATTGTAGCATACAGGAAGGTCTCCGATCCTAGAGCCGCGTATTCTATCCAGTTGAGAAGGAAAGCGATGAAATTCGGGATGGTTATCACGATGCCGATAAATTTTGCGGTCTCGAATGCCCCCCATAGTCTCTCTAGGTACCTAAAGGACGGGGCTAATGAGAGGAGAGATAGTAGTAGCTGTGATTCAGCTCATTAGCTACTCCGTAGGATAGCACATTCTTGGACAAGCTCACCCCAAGGAAATGTGACTCAACGAAGCCCGCCGTCAATAGTGTCCATGGATATAAGAAGCTTCGCCCTGGAACGACTGTCAAGTATGGTACGGCAATTTGAGGATGTTCTGAGGTAAATTGTAGGTAGCCATGGGCTATGGAAAAGCCTAGCAAAAGGCCCACGAAAGCCTTGGTAGCTGGTGGTGTATTGGTTACTATTTGTAATGGAGACGACAATAGAGCCCTGCAGTGTTGTGAAAGTGGTGATGTGTTAGCCGTCATGATGAGCAGTTCCCAATTTCGCCATCCGTAAACGACGTACATGAACAAAGAAAAAGTAGAAATCTCCTTCAGTAGGGATGGTCCAGGAGGTGACGGTTTCTGAGCAACCTCAGGCTGGAAGAAAGTTGATAATTTTGGCCGTGCAGGCAGGAAGTCAACTAGTGGGCCATCGCAGCACTCACCTTCGACCCTTCAACCGGCATGCAGGGGTTCCTCTGTACCCTTCCGTCTCAACAGGATGGTAGCTCTAGCTTCATCATAATTTAGCAATCTTACTGTCTAGGGAGTGGTCGATTAGCTGAGAAGACATTGGAAATTCGTCCTGAGGGAAGAACGAATCATTGGAACTGTTCTCTAGGGATCAATCCATTACTTATCCGACCACATGTAATATGGTAAGCATCAGTGACGTCTCAAATACAGAGCCTGACTGATTCACTCTTTCTCTCTGTGGGCGATATCACCCACCGTTAATCAACCATGGCAACACCTTCAGAAGGATCGGGAAAGTCTGTAGGATTTAGTTTTAGGGTCAAGGACCCCAATATTCTAACCAAATGGATGTTGGATTCCACCAAGGTCACGTTTGGTCCAGGGGCGGCGGTCTTCGAGATAATGACGAGTCTCGAAAGTATATCTATTGCTATGGCAGTTGGATCTCATTCTATCAATCGAAATGATTTGGAGGCTCTATGCCAGCAGTTACCGGGCGTTCCCTCCTTTATCCTCGATACAAATCAACGACACCACCGACTTATCTTCTCGAATATGCAAAATGCAAGAGCCGCGTTTGGCACTCTACAGGGAATGCCATTATGTGGTGAACCGGTCACTTGTCATTTGGACTTGAATCCTCTTCGACAGTCTGCAAGCTTTGAATACTGTCTACAGTTATCATGGATCGCCCCCTTCAAACGGTTCATTGCACATATGAGGTCAAAACATGAAGTTAGCAATGCCATCGACGCGTGGAAAATGAAAAATATTTCTGGAGTTAGGCTACGCGTTTATCGCCCTACAACGAACCATTTGGACGTCATAGTCGATGGGATCCCATTGAACATTCCTCATCACGAGATACAATCTCTCTTCCCTGGATATTTAGGAGAAATTGTGCTAGTAGGAGTAGAGGATACAACCGCCGAAGGCATCCTGCGAGGTGCGTTGAAGTCCCATGGGCTTAGACACCTCCACATAGACACGAGTAGACCAAGATATCGATTGAGAAAAGGGTGGGCAACATAAGACACTTATGAAGGAGCCATCTCTTCGTTACACTCCCTCTCATTGAACCCTCCTTTTCTTGAGAGCCTCTCACTCTCACTCAAAGCCTCCATCAGTACAAAGGTTACATATCATATCCCAATTCCCCAGTATCTAGCTAATAAGTCGAATATTGGCTAGATTTTCTTCATCATTTGATTGGATTTGTATTATGACATTATTTTGCTGGGTTT